CTAGAGGGATAAATCCAGGAAAACAGGCAAAGATCAGAAACCAAGAAAACAGACAGGGCAAGACTAGGCTAGGACTGGGAAACTAACGAGGGCTCTGTAAAGTAGCTATCACTGCTGGCGATAAGCGCATACAATACTCGGCAGTTTGATAGGAGTCAGATTAAGTGATATATAGTTAATGTGTGATTGGATACAGCTGTGTGCAATCAGTGCTGTGTGCAATCAGTGCTGTGTGCAATCAGTACAATGGATGATGGGATATGTAGTCCGGGATGATGCAACAGTTTGTGTAGTGCGAGAGTCAATGTAATGGAAAGGGTGACCTCTGATGGCAAGCAGACGGAAGTTCATGGACCGGATTTGTGACAATAAGAACAACACCTGAGTTCAACACTATGTAATACAATTAACATAATGTGATAGATTTCACAGTTGCTCTCAGCTGAAGTACAGGTCCTCTGGTCTTAAAGGATCAATGAAAGCTGAGAGTTGCATTCACACAGGCAATCAGGAAGCCGTCTTGATTTATTGCACGTAGTTTAAGATCAAAATTAACCTGTGAACAAACACAAGTCAGACATATGGATCAACAGTGAATCAAAGCCTAGGTGTTTAAATGGAATATACAAACCAAACCTTTAGAGGAATATTTGTTTTTGACTTAAATGATGACTCAACGGTGATGATTTCTGGAGAAATCAAAATTTGACATGTTATTCCCAATAATATTGCAATCTGTTTATTATAAAACTGTCAAAGGTAACCGACAACTTTCTTTCTAAGCTCACCTCCTCTCCTGCTTCCACAAAACTTGAAACGTGGGAAGTGAGGAAGACAGAGGGGCTCGTCCTGATTCAAGATAGGCATTTTTTGCCCGTGTAGCCACAGCTCATATGATGAATAAAGCTCATCGATGGACTGCCCTGTGGAAAACACACATTTATTGCCTGACGGCTTCATGTCATTTATCTGAAACGTAATATTTATGTGCAAAGATGAAAACTCACTCAGAATCAAGGCCAATCTGATTTTTATGAGATCAGTTAATCTCTCAGGGCAAGGCAGGAGAGTGAAACCTACATCCTGTAAAGGGTCTGAGACAATGAAATGGGAAAATGAAAGCAACTCACTATACATTTTAGGATGAAAATAAAAGAAAGATCAAATTAATTAAATGACTGAATTAAATTTACTGACAATTGGTAGTTCCTGTAAATGATTGACATCTCTCAATCAAACAACACACAAAAGCGGAAAACATAAAAAAATTAATAAAAAAAAGTAATATATATATATATATATATATATACACTATACTGTTCAAAAGCTTGGGGTTGATAGGAAAAAAGGAAGTCTCTTCTGCTCAACATGACATCCTCTGTTTATTTGATCAAAAATACAGTAAACATTGTAATATTCTGGAACATTATTACAATTTAATATAACTGTTTTCTATGGTGTTATATTGTAAAATGTAATTTATTTCTGTGATCAAAGCTGTATTTTCAGCATCATTACTCCAGTCTTCAGTGTCACATGATCTTCAGAAATCATTCTAATATGCTGATTTGCTGCTTAAGAAACATTTCTGATTTTCAATGTTTTATCTCTATTATCAATGTTGAACAGTTGTGCTGCTTCATCTTTTGTGAAAACCATTTGAAATAGAAATCTTTTGTAACATATAAATGTCTTTACTGTCCATTGAATGCATCCACAATGAATAAAAGTATTAATTTCTTAAAGTATGTATCTTACTGACCCCAAACTGTTGAACAGTAGTGTATGTCACACTGATCTCACCGCAGCTCCTGTAGGTCACTGTAAGTCTTTCTGAGTCGCAGACTGTGTGAACCGGCCATTGAGGATCCTGAGAGTGAACCCAATTCATCTGAACCATAATCAGAATCAGAACCAACAACATATTGCCACGCAGTCGTATCTTCATAGCATTCAGGTTGCTTTAGACCCAGAGTCTGACTCAACTTAACTTCTCGTGAATTTTAGGTGAAATACGTGGAACAGGGCAACTTAACTTCTCATTAAGGTCAAAGCGATAATTTCAGCACGTCACGAGTTTCACTTCCCTGAATCTTCATGTCAACACAACTTTATTGCCATGCCCTTTAGCCACTTCCTAATATCCAGTACAACAAGATGTATTTGTGTAAAATACATTTGTAATAGAACCTAAATTATGACACTCCTGTAAGAACAGCATCTTATCCACCCTGACCTCTATTTTGATGCCTCATGTATAGAGTTTAACAGTTCATTTAAAAGCATCACAATCAAATCATATATTCATTCAAAATTTTCCAACTTCTGTTTTCATGTCAGTAATTTCTATAATGAAATAAAAATATTTGTAATATTTCAGTTTCATTTTCCAAGTCATTTTTTATTTGCTAGTCTGTTTGTTTTAACTCACAATTGTAATTGTGTATTTTATATACAGGCAAAAGCTATTATTGATTGATTTATTTATGAAATTAACTCAGTGTCGGAAACAGGAGGTAGAAAAGCAAAATTCTCTTCATTTTTAGATACAGCATTGTTTAGGACTGCTTATGCTGGTACTATCAGTATCAGTTTATATATTATTTTTAGGGATCAAGAGAAAAAGAGGAAAATGGACTTGGAAAAGTCACAAGGTTTGAACTTTATATGGATAAAAATGTAACACCAACCCGCTATGCATCATCTCCCATAACAATTGAGGTTTTATCTGACCTAGAGTTCATTGAAGGTATAGTCCTACATTTGGTCACAAAAATGACATTTTTTTTTCCATTAAGGGGCAACATTTGCCACTTTAAATTGATTTCTATGGTCATTTTTAGAGCATTTATAAAGGAATTTTTCTCTAACCATATCAGATATATGTGTTAACTTTTATTTTAAATTCTTAAATGTAATCAATAAATTAAATATGAATGATAAGACACTATACTGTACAGTTAGCAATCAAATGAAATCAGCATCAGTAAAATCCATCTTGGCACAGAAGCTGCATCTTGAAGTGGCATTAAGTCTGTATGCAGATCAGAGGTGGCATAAATGCATTTACACTCAAATTACAAGTGCATAAATACTGTTATGAGATTAGCATTTTAAAACGTAAATTAACAACTTCTTTCTTTATTGACATATTTGCAATCAGTATGGTATTCCTAAAACAACAACAACAACAACAACAACAACAGAACAGCTCTCTTGCTTGTGCAATATTGCTTATAGTCTGTATGTTATAAAAAACAAGAACTCCAGGGGTATTTTGACGACATATGTTGAATTTTCAGGGCATTTTTGCTAAAAACCCCCCAGTAATTTCTGACCCTGCATTTGATCCGTCCTTGGGAATCAAACTAATGTCATTGGCTTTGCTTGCTACAGGAACAGGTCTACATTTAGGAGGGACTCTGATATGAGTAGGTTTTTTGCTGTTGTTGCATTAAAACAACATGGAATGAAAAAAAAAAATAACAGAAAAATACAAAAATAAGGCTACAGTAAAATCTGTTTGGCTGAAGGTAACTGCAATTTAGCTTACCATAAACAGTGAAGATTAAATTAGATTTAACAAGACAATACATGTACAGTATGAGTATACTAAAATCTGGCTTTTGGAAGTATGATAAATAACATATACATTTTGAATAAAATATTGTTGATGTTTTAAAGAACGCCTTTAGTAGTTCAAGCCGTTAGTGATCAGTATATGCATACACAGATCTATCCACCATATCCACAATGATGTGAAATATAAGTCACATATTCCAGCATGTGTTATTGTTCCATGATCCTTCAAGCTTTTGGACTGGCTACTAAAGCGAATGATTTTTAAACAACTTGTTGTCTGATCAGTGTCTGATGAAGGAATTATATGTGATGCACAATTCTGGTTTAAAAATACAATGGCCACATGTATTCATCTGTATTTACAATTTATATGACGATGCTTGCTGTGAAATGTCACTATCATTTGTTTGATTGAGAGATCATTTATGTGCACTGCTGATGATTGTTAATGGTTTCTGCAAATCAGTTTAGAGTATTTTTCCTTTATTTTCAATTCATTTCATCTTGAAATGTATTGCGTGTAAATCTTACATGAATGATTTAGTGGTCTTCAAAACATTTAAGGACCATTAAACTCACTTCATAACTATAATAACATAGGAAGAATTACTATCATATATTATTATTATCATCTCATCTATTGTAAGTGATGGTCTGGAATATGCTGTTGTCATCATGAACCAGAAGCAAGGTCACAGATCTGTGTGTCAGACTGACCTGATCTTGGGATCCTCTTGACTTTGGCGGCTCTGGTTCCTTGGAGGTGTTTTTCTCCAGTGGAAGAGGAAGTCCTGAGCCTATATTAATCAGCATGGAGCTCCTCATTGGTACATCTGCCTGGAGCTTCTCAGCAGACCATCTACTCTTCTACAGAGACCGTGAGTTCAACACTTTTAATGACAGTTTTCAACTGGATTTCTGAACACTTTAGCATTATATACAAGGCGGTTTATTTTAGTTTTATGACCTATAGTACACAGAGTTTTTTTTTTACTCCTGCCATGTCTTAGCTGATGTATTCTCAAAAGGGTAGGGACGTTCGTTTCAGAAATTTTTGGAACTGATTCCGATTTCTGGTTCTGGAATCAACTGTTCAAATTCCCTTTGTATTCCCTGATTATTATCAGCATCCATAATCTCTTTATGTAGTCCAAAGCGTCGCTCAAAACCTTCCATTGTGGACAACAGACAAGCCAGTTTCACCTTTTAAGCTAAATCATCACTAATTTGCGTTTGTGCACCAGCGTCTGAATTGTGTGTTTTAGGTTCAAAAACTCAATGTAGGAAACTTGTCCAAGTCGTAGGCAATTAAATATTTGTCAGTCGAATGCTGATCACAGAATTAAACAGTGACTGAAAAACCTCATTAACTTAAGCAAATTAAAGGTAATTAATTAGCAATATACGTTCACACATATGGCTTTGTTTAAGTTTCAGTATGACATACCATGACACATAGCTGTGACACAGACAAATATGCACGTGACAGCATGAAATAATGGCTGCAATCATTTTTTTAAACCGATTCATTGAAATTAACCGTCCAAAAGAACCGATTTGCGGTTAGCGCTATTGAACTGAAAAAGGCAACTTTTCCCCAACTTTTGGAATCAATTTCTTGCTTCCAAGGTGTTGAGAATCGAGAATCGATTCCTCGATTCCCAACGACTTGGAAGCAAGAAGTTGATTCCCAGCCCTACCTAAAGGACTGTCTGTATGGCTGTATTTTTCTAACATTAAAATCATCTGTCATCCAGGCTAACGCCAAGACATTTTGTGCACATCATGTCACTTGGGCAGCCCTGGGAACACCAACACGGCCGTATTTCCCTTGACAACTCAAACTCACATGAGTCTAACCTACTTGAGTATGAGGCTTTTGATGTTCTGAGGCCAAGGGGACCCCTAGATGAAGGTAAAGTCTTACTCATGTTTGCATTTATGCATGCCATTCTGCACATAAAATATTCAAACATTTGCCACAGTTTGTGAAAGTAAGTCTTCTTTTTAAAAAAAAAAAAAAGCAGCAGGTCTCTCTGTGTTGAGCGTTGACATGCGTGTGGCGGAGAACAGAAAAGACCATTACACGGACAAGTTCAAGAGTTCCAGTCTCATTGTGCGCAGGAATAAAGAGTTCACCATCATCATCAAACTAGACCGGGCCTTCAGTGCAGAGCAGGATGATGTGCAGGTGGAGTTCCTGATTGGTGAGCTTCTGCATTTAGTAATACTGACAAATTACATAAAGCCTCTGTAATGAAGAAGCAGTATATGAAATATCTCTCGTCTGCTATATGAAATATCTGCTCGTCACAGGCAGTTCACCTAATGAAAACAAGGGCACCTACATCACTGTGTCCATTGGAAAAGGGAAACATAACAGGCACTGGAAGGGTCGTGTGGTGGAAATGCAAGGCAATGAAGTGACAGTGGGCATAACACCTGACGCCAGCTGCATCATTGGCCGATTCCGCACCTTTGTAGCAATAGTGACTGATTTTGGAAGACGGCGCACTCAGAGGAACCAAGACACTGATTTCTATGTGCTGTTCAATCCTTGGGACCCTGGTGAGTACAAATGTAACACACTGGAAACAAACCTTAATATTTGTAGCATGAATTTGTCAAACAACGGACCTTTGATAAGTCTGTACATTTGCTTGGACACTGGACCATTATTATCTTACTACACATGTGATGACGCATGCATATTGTATGTGCTGCTACCCAGCGGATCAAGTGTACATGGACAAAGAGGAAGACAGACAGGAGTATGTGATGAATGATGTGGGGATCATCTACAATGGAGAATACAACAACATAACCTCCCGTTCATGGAACTTTGGGCAGGTTGGCAGTAATCTGGAGATGTTTCTTCACATCAGGCATAAAGAAATTTGGTAACACTTTATTTTAAGGAGTCCGTGTTACACATGTTACATGTACTTACTATTATAATAGCAATTAACAATGCATGATTACATGCAAGTAACCCTAAGCCTAACCCAAATCCTAACCCTAACCATATAATAAGTACATGTAGTTAATTAATATTACTCAGTACTTATATGTATAATTACACTGTAAGAAGGACACCTTAAAATAAAGTGTAACCAAACATTTCCTCCCACTGAGCTCATGCCCATATACAGTCTAACCTAGGGGTGTCCAATCCTGCTCCTGGAGGGCCACTTTCCTACAGAGTATAGCTCCAACCAGCTCAAACACACCTGCCTGGAAATTTATAGGGGTGTTTCTCAATCATAAAGCTGCATCTTAGTAAGGTTGCATACCTCGGCTGCCACACCATCAAGCACCGTAGAAGCCCATCTCAATTTGAATGATCCTTGTAAGATGCATCAAGTGTATCCTTTGTGTCTTCCAATTACCCACACTCCTTTGTACACATGCCAAACCACACACACACACACAAAAAAACAAAGACGTAAAATGAGACCGCATTGAGCATATCGAGTTTCATAATGAATCCATAACGTTTAACCTTTATGACGTTGCCACTGGGACTTACTAGACCATCTCATTCTAGCGTTCAATGCTGAGGAGGACTCAAGCCTAGAAGCTGAGAAAGACTGGTCTATTAAGGACACAGCCTCACTAGGATGCAGCCTTCCAATTGAGAAACATCCTTCCACTTCACTCTTAGACATACTTCCCTGAGCACTTTCCCTTTGGGGAATCCCTGCTACCATTTTGAGGTACTTTCCACTTTATCTAGAGGAGGGAAATTTATATGGATAGATCCTAAACACCTTTGACTGAGGGAGCAAGACTACTCATATGTACACTTCATGAAACTCAATATATCACAATGCAACACGATTGTGACACAGCAAATTGTGCTTAATTGACCCCCACCCCAATGTAAATAATAACGTGTAAAAAGCAAATAATCACCATTGCAGATTCCAAGTGAGCAAAGGCTTAGGACGTTCCAATTCAACCCATTGCATGGGTTCTGCCAGTAGTGTGCACTCATGCAACATAGGCCATGAGGTACATCCAAGTCAACGAGAAGTTAGAAGACCTTTACTAACTGATCCAAGTGTGTTTAATTAGTGTTGAAGCTAAACTCTGCAGGAAGGTGACCCTCCAAGAACAGGACTGGACACCCCTGAATTAACGTCCTATGTGGTTTACTATAGTTTGAAGAGGGGGTTCTGGATGCCTGTCTTATGGTAATGGATGCTGGGAAAGTACCGCTACTGTTCCGTGGAAATGCCACTGAAGTAGTTCGGCAAGGATCAGCTCTGGTATGATTTGATAATAAGAATTAAAGTATGGACAATTCCATGAACAAGTAATCATTTTATATTTGGTGGTATATTTTCAGCTGAACGCCCAAGACGATAAAGGTGTCATGGTTGGCAACTGGAGTGGTGATTACTCCTCTGGCACAGCACCCACTGCCTGGACCGGAAGTCCTGAAATCCTGCTCAAATATGCCAGTGAGGGTTGTGAGCCTGTGTGCTTTGTGCAGTGCTGGGTGTTTGCCGGCGTGATGAACACTTGTGAGTATGGCGATGGCACTTTCTATGGGGCGTCCGTTTAAAAATGTTTCTTCATGATAGTTTAAAACATTATGTGAACATCAAAATTCTACGGCATTTTTTGCAACAACCGTTCAACCCCCCACCCAGTTATGCGTTGTCTTGGGATCCCTGCACGGGTCATCACCAATTTCTTCTCTGCTCATGACAACACGGGCAACGTGAAGACAGACATTGTGCTGGACAAAGATGGGAAAATTGACCGAAGCCGAACAAAAGATTCAGTCTGGTGAGATTCCCTAAACAAGGTTACATCCAAGAGGTCCACAATTCTGTATTGCAGAAAATTGGTGCCTTGGTTGAAATAACAAGCTGTGTTTACACTGCAAGGCTTAGTGCACAGATCTGATCTTTTGACCATTTCCAATTTTTCGTCCCATCTGTTTACATTCACTTAAGACACGACTAGTAGGCCTACCTGATATCTGCATTTACATGAATCCCCTCCTAAACTAGACCAGTTCCATTGGTGATCACTTTCAGAGACTCAGTTGACCCTTGGGTTTTGAACAGCCGTAAATGAAAATGATGACTTTAATGCACACCGGCTGCAATTATCGCACTTATACCATGATCACTTGCCAACATGGACATTGACAAGTTAAAACTGTCATTGATGTTTGCAGTGCAAAATTTGTCTGAACAGAGTAGAGCAGTTTTCGTAAGTTGTTTTATCTACTGGTCTTTAGAGCTGAGTTTAATTACTCAAAAAACAGCGACATTATTATCACCTTGCTGAAAATATAATGTAGCAAAGATATTTTATTTATAAAATTCACGAGACAGCGTCTTAAACCAAGTTTCTGCGCTCCTGAATACTTAATAAAAGAAGCTGAGTTTTTGTTTGAGCGCATACAGGCAACATCTGCTTCATAATTTGACAAAGTAAAGTTATCTTTGTGGGCAAATGCGTCTCACTTGCCTTGTGATGGCTTGGAATTCCAATGGGAATCGGATTTACGTGTTTAGACATACAGTAGGTCAGATGTCCAGATATTGGATATGATTAAAGCGGCTCAGAGCGGATGTGAAAAATCAGATCTCGTGCGGATTTTTATTTACACATGTGCAATAATATTTGATCTGTGTCACATGCGAGTAAAAAAATCTATTTTTTAAATTAATTAATAATTTTTTTTGTGCCAGTGTAAATGCAGACTTATACATTGCAGGCTTTTTCACTACATAGTGAAAAAAAATATTTATGATATACTATGAAGCCAATATAGTACTATTGTCAGGTTGGTTAGTAATATGTTTAGACGCAATTCTGCAATTCTGTATTTCACAGGAACTACCACTGCTGGAATGAGGTGTACATGAAGAGGCCTGATCTGCCTGAAAACTTCTCTGGCTGGCAGGTGGTCGACTGCACCCCTCAGGAGACCAGTGATGGTATCATGAGCTCTGCCACATCATAAAAGTACCATAGAAGTACCTTTTTGACCCAAGTTTATAGATATGTTATTTTACATGTCCCATACAGGTCTTTATCGATGTGGCCCAACGTCTGTCAATGCCATCAAAGAGGGAGAGCTCAGCTATCCGTTCGATGCAAAGTTCGTCTTTGCAGAGGTAAAAAGCATGTCAATGTTCTTGCTTTTACCCTGTAGATTTAATTGACAAGATTTTAAAGGGGTCATACGACGTTGCGAAAAAGAACATTATTTTGTGTATTTGGTAAAATTCAATGTGTTTATGCGGTTTAAGGTTAAAAAAACACATTATTTTCCATATAATGTACATTATTGTTTCTCCTCTATGCCCCGCCTTTATGAAACGCGTCGATTTTTACAAAGCTCATCGTTCTAAAAAAGCGAGGTGTGCTCTGATTGGCCAGCTATCCAGTGCGTTGTGATTGGCCGCAAGCGTGTGACGGAAATGTTACGCCCCTCACCATACTGTGATGATGCCCGCGTTGCATATCGCGCTGCGTAAACATAAAACCATGTCTGCATTTCTGATCGGAGAAACAACAAACAACAAGCGCTACTGTACACTGCTCAAAACTCGTTGTGACTAGGAAGAGCCTTTGACCTTGCTTAGGTTGACATGCTCTTAAATCAAGAGCCTTGGTTTACTAATTTGGCTGGTTTATAGAGCCTTTGTTCTCAACTTCATTTGATCCAAAAACATCTTAAAAGCCTTGAATGTTTATTTATACTGGGTAATTTGATATTATAGGGCAGTCAATACTAAATCGTGTTGTGTTCTAGATTCTTGGAGCGACAGTTTAAAAACTGGTTTCAGTAACTCGAGAGCTCTCTATTGACACTTGCCAGACTCAACAAAGCCTTTCAGTTATTTGATTGTTTAACAGACTTACATGAGGAAGCCAAACATCCTATGGACATGTGCACCAAACAATAGAGTTTTGATTGATGTGGGAAGGAGTGGAAAATGCCAATATTTTGCCTTCAACCTCCATGAATCTAGGAAGTCTCAAGGAGAGAGAGACCATGCAGATGGCAGAGCGTCGTGGAGTTTCTTCCAGGGACTACTTGCCACCCGCTGAAGCAGGTGTGACCATCGAGCTCCAGGCTGACACCATCAAAATGGGTGAAAACCTCAAGCTGACTCTGAACATTAAGAACCAGACCAATTAAAATAAATGAATACATAATTATATGCATAGATAAATAATTTATAATAAATCCTGCAATATTCCATTAAAAATAAGATTGGTCATTTTTGATTTCATAATGACTTTTAACTGTACTTCTACAAAATTATGAATAAAGAATGTGCATTAGTGTGTTTTTGTTTTTATTCAACTTATGAAGGTGCTGTAAATTGAATCGCTATATATTCTATCATATTTGTACAGTACTATTGTATTTTGTTCATGCAACTTGCATAGTTGTTTTGTAAATGAAAAAAAAAAATCATTTATTTGAACAAATTTACCTTTAATATAGTTGCTGCACCCATTGCATCCAACAAGTTTTCGCATAGATACGCCCCCTGAACGATTACGATTTTATGGTGGTTTTCAGGTGTAAATACGATCTTGTCTGAAATGCTGGTAGAAGTCTTCTGCAGGGCTCAGTGTGGGCTCGGCAGAAGTGCGCATGGAGGTCGCCCTTCTTAGGGGCCGTTCATATGTGGAAAACGGGGGCCGCGCGCTGCTTTTAATGTTGTTACAGAAAGGGTGAAGCTGATTGGTTGGTTCTCATCACATGACCCTATTGTACATCACATGACATCACACTGACACATGAATGCTTGCGGCATTGTGAAAAGTTGGGATATTTTCATCTTATTTTTATATATCTTATCTTCTTTTTATATCTTAATCAATGACGTACATCCAAGTCAAAGAGATGGAGGGAAGTTAGATATATAGACAGATATAACAGAGCTATAATGGTTTCTACTGGCTTTTGTCACATTGCTCGCATCTGGTGTCAGTAGTCTCGTGTAGACAGACCTTCAGACTGACAGCAGAAGATCTGGGAACCTTGGCCACTAGGTTAGAATGGCCAAGGACCACCCAAGAGGCGATATGACTGACAGGAAAAGCAACCAATCACGTTTCAAGCAACCAAACTCCTGAAGTGTTACCAATTTTGTGTGCCATATGCATCCGACGTTCAGCCAACAGTATGTGGGCGTGAAGTCTGAGGCTGAGACTATGGTGTCAGTTGCTTTAGCAATAACTCTGTGACATCTCCTGGATGGGATTTGCACTACAAATAATATTTAGTTGAGTTTTATTTGTTATTAGTTCTTATCTTAGTTACAATTTTCCAGACTTACCTTTATAATTGCACAAAGAGCTTTGTAAAAACAGTAAATGTTTGTTGGTGCTCTACATTCTAATTTATCTGCAGATGACTGGATCTCCCATGGTTGGCAAGGAACTCATGGTCAGTGTGGAATTCCTGAATCCCTATAATTTCATCCTGCAAAAGGTTCATCTCCGCATTGATGGACCTGGTCTGATACCGACCAAATTGAAATATTACAGGTGAACTTTATATTTATATCACACTGGCAGGTGAAATAAAGCAAACACACATAGATGTTGAAATAACTACTACACCATACACCAATAAACATGTCCAGACATTTACAAAGACAAATATAGTATTTATTTTTGTGCATATACACTATATCCATATACATTCAATGATTTATTTTGTGGTGACTCCTGTTTATGTTGCGGTCATGTTGCATACATAGAAGGCCAAATACACCGTTGGCTGAATTCTCAAAATATTTTGTCTCTTATGTGTGTGTTTCCACTTGCAGCCAGATATTACCTGGTGCCTCGGTGACATATAAAGTGTTGCTGATCCCTCGATTGCTGGGGAAGAAGGTGCTGATGGTGTGTCTAGACTGCCCTCTACTGAGACAGGTCACCAATCAGCTGGAATTTGTAGTGAAAGACGAAAATAGGAATGACCTAAAAGAGTGACACAGGGAACAAGATAGAGAAAAGACAGGGAAAGAGGAACGGAAGAGAAAACACAATTGCAGTGCCATTGCTTTGTTTTGCGTTGATTCACTAAGCAAAAAATTTTTTTTTAATGTTTTTTTTACCAAGAATTAAATAATTAAATGTTACATCTACTTTATGTTACATGTACTGAAGTTAAAAGAATAGCTCACTCAAAAATTATGTTTTTTTCCAAAACCCTTATGACTTTCATTGTTCTGTGGAACACAACCGATATTTTGAAAAACAGAAGAGACATTTATGCAGGTTTGGACAACATGAGGGTGAGTAAATGATGACAGAACTTTCATTTTTGCCTGAACTATCCTTTTAAATCAGCAAGTGTGAGAACTATAATTAATAATGACAGCCATTGAAATCCCTAGTGATCTGCGACGTGTTTTGTTTGGGGAAATGCTTTCTCTGGTTGGAAGGAATCTTAACTAACTTACTGTATTAATCACAATGTATTGTTGTTTTATTGTGCTCTAATGCCATGGACTATGTTGTACTAATGCAAATCAACAATAAATGTTTAGCATGAAAGCTTTTTGATGGATGCAGTATGAGCCTACTCACCTCATGCCATTACAAACCTGTTTGATGTTACTTTTTTTCTTCTTCTGTGAAACGGGCACACACAAAAAAAGTTATTTAAAAAAAAAAAGTGTGTTGAATGTATTGTACTGTTGCTTAACAACATACCGATTGTTCTGCCGAATTTTTTATTTTTGGTGTTTGGTGGTCAATGTATGTTTCTGACCAAATTTTTAAACTTTTGATGTTATTTCTAGCAAGAAATCAGTATCATAGTAATTAACTATTCACTCATTATTCACCGTTATGCAAAGTCATTGCCTGATAAGGCAGCGAGGCAACAAATTAGCCTTGCAGCCACCAGTGTATTTCAGTGTATTTCCCCCGGGAATGCATGTTTTTTTTTTTTTTCTGAAATAACCATGATGTTAGATTTGATATTTAATGAAAACATTGCTGAAATTGCACAGTGTATGCCCGACTTTACATGATCTAGGACCTTTATAAAGTGTGTGCAATTGTAAAGACTGTTTGTCTGCATTAAATTAAATATGCACTCTAAAAAATGCTGGGTTAAATATAACCCAGCGCTGGGTTAAAAAGGGACAAACCCAGCTATTGGGTTGTTTTGACCCAGCGGTTGGGTTGTTTTGAACCCAACCACTGGGTCAAAACAACCCAACCGCTGGGTCAAAACATCCCAACCGCTGGGTCAAAACATCCCAACCGCTGGGTCAAAACATCCCAACCGCTGGGTCAAAACAACCCAATAGCTGGGTTTGTCCCTTTTTAACCCAGCGCTGGGTTATATTTAACCCAGCATTTTTTAGAGTGTGGCATCTAACCTGATTAAGGTCTAATAAATGGTTAACTACAAGAGAACAAATGTGTTTTCCCTCATATTTTACAATATAACGTGTGGAAATAAGTATGAATATTTGTGATACTGACATTATATCGAGAGGTGTGATCCTCACATTCTAAGTCTTCAGAGACCGGGCATTGCCTAAGGCTGGGCATACACGTTTTTGATAAATACCAACTCTCGCTGTATGAGTAAATCGCATGAGATGTAAAAACCTCAGGATTTATGTGCTCACACTATACGGTCCGATCGTCGAGCTGCAACTTGCCTGCTCACACTATACGAACGAAATAAACATGTTAGAACTGTGTAGCCTCCATCGCTTCCGTTCATTTCTGTTTTCATGCAGGCGCAGTGAGGGAAAAAACACTGAGGTTAGGGCATTCGGTTCGTAGCTCTGCTTCAACTGTGCGTTACCCTTACATGAGGCGACCAAAATTTCTGACATGTCAAAAATTCATCTGACGATCCTCGTTTGTGTGGTGTCATTACGATGAATGGACTGCTCCCGATCGAGACGGAGCGTCCCCGAACTCAAATCATGTTTGATATTTAAGACTCTTGATCGGGCTCTTCTGACATGATGCCTGCAATAGCCAGTGAGAGCGAGCAAGCGTCACCTACCGGATGTTGCATGCTTCTAAAACTGAATCTTGGCAGCCACAAACATGAGAGTACTGAGAAAGAACATCACCCATATTCTTTTTTTTTCTATTTTGTTTTTCAATGTTCAACAGAATGCATGCCAGGAGAGCCAGGTGACAACGTCGATTGTCCTCCATGTGTTTTCCTTCTAGAGTCACGTTTGATCTCACTGTGAAATCGTTCCTCCAATCAACAAGTGTGTGGTCTCGTTTAGAGGATCATAAGGCTAAAAATCGGTTAACACTGTCTTCATGTCTGTGGTCTCCCATGGCTTTAAAATCAGTTGTGATTTGAGAATCGTCTAGTGTGTCTCAGGCCTAAGTTGCCAAATGTTTATCACATCTACAAAAGCCATATTCCACTGAATTCCCAGGTTTTTGCTCCCTCTTGTGGGCTTGTGTTAATCTTCTGCATCCACTGATGCGTGGTTGTGTTCGCTGTCAGCTTGAGCACGCATACAGACCTTTGAACAATGTTATTTCTTTATCAACACAGTTTTGTTTTAGGGTGCTTTGGAACCAGATCCTTTCTGACTTTAATAGAAAGAAATAGAAGACATAGAACAAGGCAGCTTAACTTTCCCATTATATGCTACTGTAATAATGAGTTAGGCCTATTTTATTAATGAATTTATTCACTAGTCGGGCATCAGTACAAACTCCTCCTGCAGGTCACAAGTCTGCTCAGAGCATTAGTGTTTTCATTTACAGCTCAGTGACTGTGTTTTTAACATCTCCAGCAGTTCTGTGAAGTATGGAGTACGCGAAAACCTTAGTTCCTACATCTCTAATGAGGTAAGACACTGTTTAATATTTGTAGGCTTCAGTGTTAGAGGTCAGCAGGATTTTTGGGGAGTCTTTTGGTTATTTGTGTAAATGCAAGCTTGAAATTCTCTGCATTATTTTAAATTTTATTTACTCTATTAATTAATAGTAGCACTTTACAGTATGGTTCAGTTTGTTAACATTACTGTTATGACAGCATATATTTTTTTTCATTATTTTAACTCATAAAATTAATTTAAACAACTTCAACTTGATTTTTTAAGCTATACAAGTTGTTTTCTTTTTTTTAAAGTCAGCTTTAATTAAGTTGAAATGACTTTTACTTGTGCTTATACCGTAATTAAAAATGTAAGGAAATGTTTTACAGTATAACATGAACTAACTATAAACAATACATCATACATTAATCTCATAAATGTTAATTTCTACATATGCTAATACATTTTTAACATTTCAAATGGTATACCTTAACAATTTATTAAGAACAAACATAAATTAACAAAGAACATTAATGTATTTATGAATTAGCATTAAGCTAGTTTAGTTTATGAAATCTAATGCAACAAACTGACCCTTATTTTAAAGTATTACCTTTTTAATTTAAAATTCCTCATGCACAAATCAAAGAATTAAACCCCTGTGAGTGAAATACAGTAAAACTAATGTGCAAGTGATCTGTACTGCAATATACTCTGCTGTGAAAGTGTTTTATCAAGCATTGCATTATTGCTGCAATAACAGATGCAGTAAACAGATCTCTTCCTGTTTATATAACCATAACTTAATCTTAACAAACAAAATTGTTCGGTCAGTGGCAAATTGCCTGGGTCACCGCTGTCCATTAAATCCTTTCATAAAGCTGTTAATTTCTATAATTCAACAAGCTGTAGCTTTAGATTAACCCCAGAATGGTACATATTACATTAAAGGTACATATCAGTACCTTTTAAAAGAATATCGCCCCAGTGACAGTTTTGTTCCTTTTCCTTCTGAGAGTGTATGGACAATCGTGAGATTGCAGGTCTAGTTTTGAAGTTAACCACTCAGACAACGATTCTTTCTCTGTGCCGTATTAAAGTGTCAGCTCTGATGGTGTGTTGATGTGGTGCTGTAGGTCTGTGTCGTCGGTGCAGACGTCTCTTGCCCAGCGAATGCTGCCCCCTCCTCAGCCCCGTCCGTACAAGGTCTGCACGCAGAACCGCCGCAGGAGGAAAGGCTTCACCGCCAGCTCTCTAGCAGACCTCATGGAGCAGGTCAGATCTCTGGAGCTTAGTAAAGCACGACGCTTCATACTCGAGCCTATAGGGTTATTTAGGAGTTACACTAACGTTCAGCACTTTGAGGTCCGCAAGATTCTTAAAGGGGTCATATGATGTTGCTAAAAAGAACAGTATTTGGTGTATTTGGTGTAATGCAATGTGTTTATGCGGTTTAAGGTTAAAAAAACACATTCTTTTCCACATAATGTACATTATTGTTTCTCCTCTATGCCCCGCCTTTCTGAAACGCTTCGATTTTTACAAAGCTCATCGGTCTGAAAAAGCGAGGTGTGCTGTGATTGGCCAGCTATCCAGTGCGTTGTGATTGGCCGAATTCCTCAAGTGTGTGATGGAAATGTTACGCCCCTACCATACTGTGATGCCGTGTCCCGGCGCGATGAGACAAAACCAATAAAACCCATTATAAACGAGGCATTTGTTGCATCCAGTGGGGCCATAATTACTGATTGTAATGACTTATACTGTGTTTTTACGCTTTGCGTTGCATCGCGCTGCGTAAACATAAAACCATGTCTGCATTTGTGATCGGAGAAATGACAAACAACAAGCTCTACTCTACACTGCTCAAAACTCATGTTTGAATCATCAGTGGCAAATCCTTTAATATAAAAAACGTACTTACAGTCTGTGAGTCAGAAGCGCCAGACTGTCCTTGCAAAGTTTTTTATAGAAACAGCCTTTGTGTGTAGACGGCATTGTAGGCTACTCTGCAGGATCAGGAAACAGTCCTCGTCCTCCGTAAAATGCGTTGC